ACTGGAAGAGCTGTGTGCATGTCAACACTATGAAGGCCATGGAGGACACACACACACGCACACAGAGACACAGCAACACAGACAGACAGTCAAACAGAAAGTGACAGACAGACACACACACACACACACACACACACACACACACACACACACATAGAGAGACAGACAGACAAACACACAAACAGAAAGAGACAGACAAACAAACAAACACTCACACACGCACACACACACACAAACACACATGAGGATGTAGACAACAAAATCTCCAATGGATATTAGACAACTAGAGAACACGGATGATGGATACCTGTGGTCATTTATACTTACATTGGCATTTCATATTTTAGGATTTTAAATAATGTATCATCATTTATTATAATGACATAAACATGTACCAAACCAATGATTTTAAGTACTGAAACATAATCCAATTTTAGACTTTTTCCTACTGCCGACCTGTGGCTTTTGACCTGTGTTGAAATGGCGTGTCGACCCAGGACAACAGTGGGAAAGGTTAGCGAGTTGTTTGGACTAGACAGGTCACAAGGCGGGGGTTAAATGCAGGGTCATTTTGACACGCCAGTCTGTAAGGAAGGCTTATTTATGTTGTGATGTCATCAAAGGCACACAGACGTAAAACATGGCATTCACTGCTTCACATCATACAAAAAATACAACTGTTTGTTGATCATTGGACTTAATGAAAACAACAACAAAATTGGGGCAACAAGTCTAATTGAATATTGTTCAAATTCCCTTATATTTGCAGTGAATTTTTCGGCTTTCTGTAAAATTGTTTTTCCAGGTTGCATTTTTGATGAGCAAAGTAACAGAAGTTTCACTTCATTTCAATAATTTGTGTCAGCCAGAAATAAAAAAGCTGTCGTCTCAGAGGACTTTACAAAGTTGTGATTCACCAACAGCAGTTTAGAGAATAACAAACAAAGGCCTATTGTAATTTGTTTTCAGCACATGTCCAAGCCTCCCTTTCACTTGTTTTAACTGTTACACATCCTTGAACAATATAAAGGCAATCTGTTTTTTTGAGTTTTAGTTGCTCAATGTCTAATGTGAAGTTAGATAATTATCTGTTAATCCCCATTGAGGTTACATAAGATACTTCAGTGTGATGAGAGCTGCTGTCAACGTTATCAAACAAATTATGGCTTTTATTATGGGAGAAATATCAATACGCTGTTGGGAGGAACAATCGTTGAATAATTAACATTTTAAATGACAACTATAGCCTGCTGGAAATCCATCTTTGTCCAGTTTTAATGATAGCGCTCCGAAGCCTCATCCAGACGATTTAGCTCACATATTTTACTCTTTTGTTCTGCGTGTTTGTGAATGCAATATACTGACAAAAATTGTACAAACTTTTTGTTCTTTCTAATTACAATATACATGATTTAAAAATAATTTGAATGTCAGAAAAATCACATTCAAACAATTCCGGCCTCGTTGTACCTCAGACATTGCTTGTCCTTTTTACATTTCAATATAAACAATGCATTTTTACAGATGCTCCAATTTTCTGCTTTGCGAGTAGTAAGAGAGAAAACTACTACTACTACTACTACTGCAATCCTTCATTCATAACATCCAAATAAAAGTGCTCACCAGTCTCTGAGTGGTTATCCCTGGATGTTGGAGGTTCATTGAAGCTTGGGGACACGTCTTTTGTTCATCTGTGCCATGTTACAATAGCATTAGTCCTATGGGACAAGCCGCTGTTAAACCAGGTCCTAAACTCCTCCCTCCTTCGCCCCTCTCCTGTTGCGTCTGTCCCGGGACATTTGGGATCCTTTGACAGCTCTCTAAAAGCCAGCACGTTTATCTCAAACCTTTGAAAGGGAAGAAACATACAGCACATATGTCCAAAGATCGGGATTTAGTGCTGAATTGGTCCAAGAAGGAAAAACAGTTTTGTAAAGTTGTGCTTGAGAATTTAATCATTGAATTTCCACCAGTTTGCTTTAAACAAGCAGGTTTTTTGGTCCAAATTTTGGAGACAATGAACGACAACTAGTCTATTATTTCAGTCTTTGTTAGTGATTGTGTGAATATATTAGAAACAAACACATTTTCTATTATAATTATAATGGCAACACAAACTCCTCAAAAGAACCTGATCAGAAATTATGTGTAGTGAGATCTGATATAGGACTCTTCCTATACCTTTGAGCTGAAATGTCTTACACACAAACTGTTAGGTAGAATTGGCTCAACATATTCTCTCGAGGACAATTCAAGACAGTTACAATATACAGATTTTTATATTTTGTACTCAAGTCTCAATATGGGCCTTCTTCAGGTTTTATTTAGTTGATCCTTGCAGATGCAGGAGGATGGTGATGATCTAGGACATTTATTTATGGTCATCAGTTCCAGTCATCAGTTGCAGTTTTGTCAGCAGGGATGTACAGTTCTGAAGTTTGAAGTCCATTAACCTCTTTTTTTATGAAGCATGAAATGAAAAATTTTAAGCATATTTTATTATTAAAACAGAGTTGGTCACAACAACAGTTTGTAGAAGTCAGTGCTTTTCCACGTGATGTTTTGGTTTTTCTGAAGGTCAGACACGGGAGACGAGGAGAGTTTTTGTAATTTAGTCTTGTTATATAACCATGCGAACGCTGTGAATCTGTGAACCAACAATAAAACCTGAGACACAACCCCAGATCTCTGGAGATTTGCCATTTTCCTTAAACCTTAAAAAAACATATACAAACCTGCTTGATTATCACTTTTTCTATCTTTACAATAACCACTTACACCTCTGGTCACTTATCGATAATCTGCACTGATACACGTCTATTGTATGTATTTATAAATTATAATTGTATAATGATTTTTGTATACAAGCCTTTAAATCTATTTTTAACTTTTTTATAACTTGTTTGCGTCATATTTCAAAGCAAATTCAGAGTTTGTCACTTCCATTTATACTTACAAAGGCAATAAACAGAATTCTGATTCAAACTTACAGCCATTTGTTATTAATTGTCTACTATTGTATCCAATGCTCAAAAACTTAAAAAATATGTGTAATTATCATATTTTTTGTTAAGTTTGTCTCCTCTCACACAGTGTTCAGATTTGCTTTGGGACCACATCTCTTTTTTTTTGCCAAGTGAGCGACCAGTGACAAACTAACACTGTCAAGTTTAGGCTAACGTTTCTGCTCTTTAAATATGTATACGCTAATTTAAGTTACATGCACAAGGACAAGATCGAAAGCAAGGATTTAAGGTTGTCTATGAAGAAATGCATGGGGGATATAGTTTACAAGTGGGGTTTTAAATGCAATGCAAGCAAAAACTTTGAATTATGTCAATGTTTAGTGCATTTACTTTGTTTTTGCCCGTTCAAGCCCTTCCCCTGCTCAAGTTCTGCGGCATCAATAATAAAAGCGTTGGTTTAAGTTACTGTGGTCGGGTTACAGACTTGCACAAGAGTGAAATAAAGGGACTCCCTCACATAGACACAAAAGAGACTACGTTACCCAGAAAGCATTGCTCCTTACATCATGGCAAATCACTGAACCGTGTTTGGAGTAGAGTGGAGAAAGTTAAAGGAGAGTTGAAAATATCTGCTTTAAACAGCTAAAAATATTCATCTCATTTTATTTTATTTTTTAAACAGGGGGACCTCAATTTTGTTTTCAACACGAGTACATGTTGTTTGTCTTGTTAAAGTAAACTGTTGGGAACAAATCAGACAACATGAAGAGGCAGCGGTCCAAATTTTTGCAGGGATAATCTAGAAAAGTCTTCTTAAAAATGTGAAACAGGATTCTACTCTGACATTGTTTAAATCCAGTTTTGTTTAGCTGTGCATACAACTGAGGAATTGCATCTTCACACTTATACTGTGGATACTTATTATTTTAAAGCCTTGTTTGATTGAGTTGACTTTGAGTTGCCTTGTGTCTGAACTGTGCTATACAGATAAACCTCAGCTCTAATGATTGTAAAAGTAGTAAGAGCCAAGCGAGGCAAGTTTATTTGTATAGCACAATTCATACACAAGGGAACTCAAAGTGCTGAACAAGATAGCATTAAAATCATAAATAATCACAGAACATTAAAAAGAAAGATAAAAACATAAAATCCCTCAGTTGTATGCACAGCTAAACAGCACCGTTTTTAACCTGGTTTTAAACATTGTCAGAGAGGAGGCCTGTCTCACATCTTCAGGAAGATTGTTCCAGATTTTGGCAGCATGAATCTGAAAAGCAGCCTCCCCATGTTTAGTTCTGACTCTGGGCACTAACAGGAGTCCAGTCCCTGTGCTCCTCAGAGTCCGGGCTGGTTCATATGGGACTAACATGTCACTAATATATTTTGGTGCGAGGCCATGGAGAGACTTGTACACAAGCAGAGCTGTTTTAAACTCTATTCTCTGAGCCACAGGAAGCCAGTGCAGAGACCTGAGAACTGGACTAATATGGTCGTACTTCCTGGTTCTAGTCAGGACTCGAGCTGCTGCATTTTGAATGTACTGCAGCGAGTTATTCTTATTACTTTGGAGGAAATGAAAAAAGGTTGCTTATTCAGTTTGGATATCCTGTTTCAAAGTTACCCACAGGAACAATCGTCTTACTGGCAATTTGTGTGGGTTCATGATATGGTAAGGAGTTTGACCTCCTCCTCATTCTCCTCTGAGTTTGGAAAAGCATGTACCCCAGCTCCAAGGGGTTTCTGGAATAGCATGAATGACTGCTAAACTCGTTCTGCTTTATTAGGGCCAATGTGCTGTAGTCTTTAATAAAATGGTACGAAACATAAATTATGCTAAAAATAAAGATTTACACCAGTTCAAATTCGACAGCTTTATTCCCTTCGTAATCTCCTGTTTAAAATTATCTCATGGACGCAGAGAGAGACAAATGCCTGGTGTAAAATAGTCCATTTGACTCGTTGTGCTCTGTGGGCAGGTGTTGTGCTGGTTTGTTGTGGCTCGTCCTCCTCCTCCGTCTAAAGTTCATCGCAGGATCATTGAGGCGTGAGTGGGATGCCGCGGGGGTCCGTCACCTGGCCCTCCTGCAGGTTCTTCACTAACTGGGCCAGCCAGCGTTTAGTGGTGGTGTCGTCCTTCAGCACCTGGGCGAACGTGGTGTCTTTGAGCTGGTCCGGGAGGCACTGTCGCAACGCCTCTCTCGCTCTGGAAGCAGGACACTGGGGTCAAGCCTTTCTCATTTCAGAATATACTGCTGCTTCAAACATTATAGACATTCTTTATCCCCTTATCTCATGATCCACACAACCACAAGAATACTGTCAGACATACTGTATCTTCAATCAGTCAAAAGAGTCAAAGAGAGATAGTTTTTGTTTTATCCACTTAACAGGACACCTCAAATACAAGTCTGTCATCTGTTACCTCGAGATCTCTCCTTCAGTTTCCAATTCTCCTGTTACATTACATATAGTCTGTACAATGGGAACTTTTTTCCCCCATTTTTGTACCTACCTGAATCACGTTTATTTAACAAAACAAAGTTAAATGTTGTAACTTGTGTTATTAAAGCTGCACTAACTGACTTTGGGATTTTGAAGCCGCGGACCCGCTGGCCTCGCTCTTTCTGCTCCCCTCCCCGCACCCACGAAGCTATCGCCCCCCACACACACTCACTGTTGGGACGGAGCTAGTGTCTCCCAATATGGATAATACATGGATATGGATTTGCACGTGGATGGCGTGACCATAAAACGATAGAACCGGGAAGCGCGGAGGAATGGGACTTTCTTTTGGATGGCTGTTTCGCTAAGTAAGCAGTAACCGGTGATGAAGACACGAAGCTTCAGGTTAGCTCCTCGGCTTGTTGTGCTAACTCAGCCGTCTATGCTAACGGACCTGTAGATTTCTCACGAAAGTGGGGGCCAGTGGTCCACTGTGATTGGTCACAATCTGCGACCCGAAACACGTTCTCTTCCTTGTTTCATCAAAACTCGATCTAAAATATAATGTCACGCCAGCACAAATCTGCGCTAATTATTCTTCAAAAGGACGTATATCCCAATGCACTACATGGACATGGATAGCATTTTCGTAATGAATACGAAAATAAAGTCAGTTAGTGCAGCTTTAAATTAATATAAAATCAGCTTTGTGCAACCCTCATCAGCCTCAAATTACGGGTATTGGTCCTAAAAAAAAACATACCGGTTGAACTCTGTCCCTGTAATTAACATGGATTGAGCTAAAAATACCCCAGGTTTGTTTGTGATGAGGGAAAAACGTAACATGTTTAATCAGTCTTAAAGTTTACCTGGAGTTGTCTGAAAGTCTTAAGTAACAGCGTACAACGTGTTTGAGCAGTCGAGCCGACGGTTCCTTCGAGAGCTGAAGAACCATTTTACCCTGAAACAAAACACAATTGTTTGCAAATGATTTAATAATGTTTAGGACACTGGTCTCCCCCCTTCTGGTCCTCCCCCCTCCTCACCAGAATCATGGCCACGTGTGAGAAGCGCTCGTAGGTCTGACAGATGTAGGCCAGCCCCGTGTCGTCCAGGAGGATCTTCTGAAGGATAAAAGTGGCGACCTGGAAGTCACAGGCAGAGCCGTTAGTCCAATGTGTGCCAAAGTGTGCCAAATGGTTGCAGATGATCCCAGTTCACATATGTGCACGTCGCTTAGTGGGCCACCCCCTCAGTTTCCAAAACTCTGGTCCTCTTCAGGGGAGTGACAAACCAGTCTAAAACCCTGAGTGAGAAGAGACTGTAGTTCCAGTGAGTATGTGCACGTTTACAACACCCGCCGTAGTGGCATAAAAAAACACAGAACTCCACTCACCACACTCACCTCGATACACAGATGCTCCGAGTCCAACTGTGTAGTCAATGTATGGAGCTGTATCGGAGGCCACTGAAGCCAAAAACACAATTACCTACATGTGGTTCTTGTCTGACCGGCCAGAACCACACCATTTTGTAACAACACAGGAATTTTGATTGAAAGCCTCTGGTTGCCTCCTCCTAGCATTGACTGGTGTGTCAAACGACAGGCATTTAACCTCCCTCTGCGGGGGTCTCTCTCCCTCTAGGGGGGTCTCACTCCCTCTGCGGGGGTCTCACTCCCTCTGCGGGGGTCTCACTCCCTCTGCGGGGGTCTCACTCCCTCTGCGGGGGTCTCACTCCCTCTGCGGTTGTCTCCTTCTGCACTCGAAATTTGCATGTTGATTTTGACACGCTCTCCTTTTTCTCTCGCCCTCAGGTAAACAGTAAGCTCTGCACATGGTACTTTTCTATACGTGTCCTTTTAGAATTATAATAGAACCAGCTTGAGAAAAGCTTTATACCAATGATAAAAACTTTAACCATTGCAAAAAGTATGTTAGTTTTTTGCTTTTAAATACATAGACAAATATACACAAACACACACATACATTGAAATGGCACATACTGTTTTCGAGAGCTCGCTGCCTGCTTCCATGATTCGCAGGCACAATGGAATAATCTCCGTGGTTAACAGGAAGTTGATCACTTCTTGTTCATCTGTTTTCACAAGGGCCCCTGGGAAAACAAAGACACGACATGACGTTGATGGATTTTACCAGTGACATATGAATAAACTTTGCCGACGTAAAGGGGGGAACACAGCTACACAGTGTAATATTCTTGATTCTCACCGATGACTCCCAGGCTGGTGAGTCTGAGGTATTCGAAAGGCCGAGTTTTACTGACTGTGTGAAGGAACGGGTAGAGGAACAGAGGTATGTGAGCGGCCAAAAAAGCAGTTCTGCAAAAATAAAACAGAAAATCAAACTATAGATTACAGAGAAGACTGGTGCTAGGAGCTCAAAAACAAGTACAGCTACTTCCCTTTGTTGTATTAAATATAGACTAAAAAGCAGATGTGAATTTTACTGACCCTGATTTGAACTCTGTCTCTTTCCTAAGCAAAAAGACCTGGTCTCAGCTTCTTCCTTTGTAGTCCAAAGTGCAGAATATGAGTTAATGATAGTTAATCTGGGGGGGGGCCAAGATCTGATTCTGCTAATCCTTTCCTTGTTTGGAGAAGGAGATGGACCCAGAATCTGGAGGGACAGCCTTGGGAGTCTCCTGTCTTATCTCAAGGAAGTAATATTTCTATAGAATTAGGGAGGGGTAGTGTGTGAATGATTTCTGTTTAGGTCGGGCGAGACAGAGGAGGCCACATGGTGCGGAGGCGGATCTCAGACCGGAAGCTGCCTGATACGACACGCCCCCTTCTTCCTGGACCTCTCCTGATATGCTCTGGCTTGAGCAGGGGGCTGAGAGTCAGCACAGGGCCAGAGAGGAACATGGATAGTTTTAGGAGCTCTCTTGTTGAATATATCTGATTGTAAAGATAAATTAAATACAGATGTTAAACTTGGAAAGAATCTTTTGTCCTGTTTCCTGCATCAACTAAGACACGTCCGTCAAGGAGATTTTGACAACACCTTGAACCACATTTTTCAATTATTTATTTCTGTTATTGATTTTAGTACTCTTCTTTTATCGAGCTTCAGGGCTCCACACATTTCTGAAAAACTCTAGGGGACAGCTGAACTATCTTACCAGGTAATTATGATCTGATAAAAAACAACATATTCTTTTTCATTTCTTTTAAAAAATGCCTCTTTCCCATAGAGTCGTGTTGGCACCTACTGGAATATACTAAAATAGAATTCTACAACATGAAAAAAATGTATATATTCTATTTTAGCTTCAGAGTTTCACATTGTCCAGCATGTTTAGAACCAAGCACAAGGTTAAAGCAGATGTTACACAAAACAAAGGAAGTAAGGAAAGTAAATAACACCTTTGTTGCTCAATAGGAGTTGGCAGAAACAAGATGCTTATTAATGTCTGCCCCCTTTGGCGATAACCTTTTTAAATATTATTGAATCATGAGGAGAGTCGAACCTGGTTTCTGGATGAGAGGCGACACACTGCAGCAGAGCTAGAGCGTTGCAGACTCTGTTGGACTGATGAGCCGTCAGAGTGGCGGGGTTTATGGAAGGATAAATATTCACTATTTCCTGTGAACAAAAAGATTCATACTATAATCATGCATTGATTATTTTTACCATTGTATCAAAAATGTATAACAGTAGCTTCAGATGTCAAGGAACAAAGCAGCTCCGAGTCTGGTCAAGACTTGTAATAGTGTATAAACTTGTATTAAAATGTGTAAGTTCAGGGGAGCATACAGGCAAGGCTATTGTCTCCCAAGTGAAACAATAGCTAAAATCCAATCTCTGTGATAATATTATGTACTTTCAATTGCTTAGAAAGTAGTTTATATACTTGGATTTGTATCTTATTTACTGTTTAATCGCTTTGTTTAAGGGCCCTTTTATATTCCTACTGTTCTGTAAAGTGGCACAACAATAAAAATTTTCCCCACTCTGGGAATAATTAAGGTCACCTAATCTTTCTACACGCCACAAAATTGAATCACCCTTGAGTAAATGAAAGAGGTCTCAAAATGTAAATCTGTGATCTTCTTCAGGCTTGTCTAACGTATCTAGTGCTTTATCATTGAAATCTCCACTCTCACCTGCAGAAGGGCAGCGATGGTGCCACACGAGTGCCAAAGCATAGGGGCCAGGTCAGGCACAGATTCCCGCTTCTTGCTCAGCTCCAGTAAAGCATTCTCTCTGGTCTCTGGACTCGACAGCTCATTTATCCACTGGTAAATCTTCTCCCGGTCGACCTGCGCCAGAGCCGAGGTCACCGCCTGAGCAAATTTCAGTTTTCGATATATTGATTGGGAGATGACAACATCAAAGTCTAGGTTTAAAGGGACACTAGTAAATGGAAGTTTACAAACTGCTTATTGCAAATTACTGATCACTTATCAATTCATAATTGATACATTGAAGAGCTTTGAATTCTGGTTGTTTGAGTGCTCCATCTGAAGACTAGAAACATTTTAGGGTTCACTTCACTAAAGCATCTTAATTTTAAACCTGAAGTTCTGTCAGATTAGCCTAAACCCATGTCTTCAAGGTAACATTTTCTTTTTGTTTAGGTAAGATTATGAACACAGACGTTCAAAATGACCACTTCGAATCGTTCCACCCTAAACTCTCCCAACCAGTTTTGGATTGTATATAATTAGTCAGTAGTCTATATAACTTGTAAAGAAAGGCAGGAGGAAAAACTGAAGCAATCCACCAGAAATATTTAAACAAACTACCACGTTCGTAACTGAATCCATGTAACTATATAAACGTAATGCTATATAAACCATGGATATAAACAGCCAACTCCAAATCCACTGGTTAACAAGTTGTGTTTACCCATTAAGCCAAATAGAAACAGCGTGCTCGCGTTCCTTAAAAAAATTAAACACATAAGCAGTATATACAGGCGAAAACAACGAAGGCTCGATGGTGCTAACTTGCATGTTCCCCCGTGATTTCATAAGCTAATAGCCACCAAGCTAACATAAACAAGGTGAAAACGTACTGCTCCCGTGGCCAACATCCTCTCCAATGCTTCCGCCGGGTGGATAATACGTTTAAGAGAATATTGCGGCTGCACTTTGAGCGTGGTTCCCAAAAAACTTCCAAAAAAAGTAGATAGTAACAGGCTACATTAGCGCAGATGCTATTAGCGAACGGGGACCACGGATCTGCGCTTCTTCACGTCACTAGTTTGCGATTGATGCGCGCACTTTCGCCACCCAGTGTATAAGCATTCAACTGCAAAAAGAAATCACAAATCGCAATATATATGTTCTATCTATTCTAAAGTTAAAACTCGAAACACCCGGGCAAATCACGTCTCATAATTAGAACTTAGCGAAATATGTACGTTAGAAGAAAAGGTTGCATTGGTTCACTGTTTATTTACATCATCTTTATACACATTTAAAAGACACATCCCACGTTAGTAATTTATTTGTTTATTTATTGGATAGACTGTAAATATTATTGGCAGTGGATACCATATAAGTATTTAGCTACAACCATTGGAACTTGAAGTCTTCGGTAAGCGTTGCCATAGTGATTGCTGATGTCGAATGAAACAGAAAGCTGAAACTCATGAATAGATGAAAGAAAAGCGAACAAGAGGGGAAAATAATTTAAAACTACTACAACAACGTGGTTATGTTTTAACATTTCTGATTTACATTTATTTATTATAAAAGCACCACTTGAAGATCAATTGAGGTCATTTAGCGCCCTCTCGCGGACAAGTGTGATACATGCGATTTCAGAGGATGGCTCTTTTCTGTATACATTTCTATATGCATAAAATAATGTTTACCTTTATGCCTTGCCTTTCGTTAAGTGAGAACACACTTCTTTAGGTCCTTAACTGTGGAACCATGAGGGCATCCTCAAAACACCAAAATGCAAACATAGATTTTCTCCAAGTACAAGACATATGAACTTCCCTCATACAAAACACACAGAAAAGGGACCTTTACCTGAAAAACGGGGTTTTAAGCTCCAGAATGTTTCCTGAAGAGAATCCTGATTGATCAATGGTTGCTGAGATGTGGATGTCATAACTTTCCCTAGAAATCAAATTGATTTTATCAAATGTAAGCATAAGGTATGTGCAACACTTTTGATTTTTTTTTTCTTCTACAGTATTTCTGCTATAACAATAGTCTTTGTCAAAACTGTAGTCATAAATATGCATTCCTACCCAACAAGTAAGATGTAAACAACTTTTGAAATAACGTAATTTTGAATGGGACCCTTATCTATAAACACACACACAGGTAATATGATTTTCACCTGTTTTTAGAAATCAAATGGACAGTCCCAGTCAAAGTTTGCCCCATTTTAGCAAAGAGTGGAGTGTGGAACAAGCAGCGGACCTGAGACCACCTGGTTACGGGTTCTGTGGGAGCTGTAGATAACCAAACAGTTGCTCTACAGAGGAAGAAAACATATTTAGTATACATTTTACAGTATTATATAAATCCATTTGTTTTAGGCCAATGTAAAAAAATTACTTTGATCCTTTAAAGGCCATGTCGAACCAGAAAGCTAGTCCATGAACTAACCCAGACTGAAGCAGAGAGAATTTGAAAGGGATATGAAACCTGAAAACACAAGAATATTAATTAAAGTAATGTTAGCTTTAAAATTACATTGCGAATTTCTTCTGAGGACTTCCTGTATATAATATGGTATAATGCAAAATCCATGGTAGTTTCAGAGAATATTTGCGGCAAGAGCTCTGGTGTGTGTCGTCTGGTGCACAATGGGGTAGTCTTGCACAGTTTTTCCAATGTGGTTTTACTGCAAATGGCAAATAAATGAATCTGAATCTGAATCTGGAGGATGCCATTAACTATGTTCAAATAAATAACCACAGTATATTGAAAGGAGTGAAGATCTAGAACTCTTCTATCAACAATGTGCAATAATTTGGATCTAGCTTTTATTGATCTTTTCTTATCCAGTAAAACGTCAGTACAACAGGCATTTTTGGCTCGAATGAAAAAATAAATAGATTTATTGTTATGGTATTTAAATTACTAAAGAGTTCCACGTTGGTTATAAACGCCTAAATTTGACAAGTAAACATGTAACTTATATCTGGATACATACAGAGTTATCACAGCTAAACAAATATAAACTGCTACTATGTCCATAACACTCTAAAGGCAAATATATACATTAAACAGGTAAATATATACTATAATTTGTTCTTAGATAGAGAGATGGATTGTTGAATTCTCTTCCATACTTATAATTGCAAGTGTTTCCATAAGTACCTGTAAGTACCACAATAAGTACCTAGAAGTACCACTGTAAGTACCACAATATAAGTACCACACTGTAAGTACCTCTGTAAGTACCACAATAAGTACCACTGTAAGTACCAAGTACACAATAAGTACCACTGTAAGTACCTCTGTAAGTACCACAATAAGTACCACTGTAAGTACCTCTGTAAGTACCACAATAAGTACCACTGTAAGTACCTCTGTAAGTACCACAATAAGTACCTCTGTAAGTACCACAATAAGTACCACAATAAGTACCACTGTAAGTACCACAATAAGTACCACTGTAAGTACCTCTGTAAGTACCACAATAAGTACCACTGTAAGTACCTCTGTAAGTACCACAATAAGTACCTAGAAGTACCACTGTAAGTACCTCTGTAAGTACCACAATAAGTACCACTGTAAGTACCTCTGTAAGTACCACAATAAGTACCACTGTAAGTACCTCTGTAAGTACCACAATAAGTACCTAGAAGTACCACTGTAAGTACCATGGACTTACCGGCCCGTAATGTAAAGTGTTACCGAACAACTTTGTATGAGTAATTAAAAGTTAACCCAATTAATTTTTTCCTAAAGGGGCCTTGTGTTTTGAGGTGCTGAAAAGCAGCGTCGAACCGGGGGTGAGAATGGTTGGCGTATTGTATAGCCCCATGTTGGAAGAAACGTATGAACTATTTAAACCAACTTCAGACTTTCATAAAAAATCTTCGAAAAGTCACAAATCCGAAAGGACAAACATTTTGGTAAAAAAAATTCGTTTTGGGTTCATATGAGCCAGATCACATATTGTAGGAATTCAGTGATAAACCTGAGATTAGGTAATACAAGGAAAGCCTACTATGCTCATAATACGTATTATTCTGTAAGAAAACTTTGGAAATTGTTATAACGCTGTCAGTACATTCGTATTAAAGTCCATCATCGAGGGATCTTTGCGTCTGGAACCTTCACTGCTGCCTTTTTAAACTTGTCGCTGACAGACAGAGGCAGTGTGTGTGAATCATGGCTGTGGCTAATGGTGCGTTCAGGGACAGCGGTGCGTTTGGGGACCGCGGGGGGTTAAGGCGCCTCCAGACGAGCGCGGTCTCTCTCAAAAGGACATTATGAAACGCCAGGTGACTGTAGACTTTTACAATGGACCAGTAATGTTAAAACAAGTGTACAACTTCTACACACGACTTTGTTCAAGAAACTGTCCAACTAAAGAGCACTCTTTATAGAACTATTTGGAAACAAATTAATACTAAAGCTGGGGTATCCGACTTTCAAAATAAAAAAATGATGTATGTAAAAATAGGGTACCTCACGATACGATACGATACAAAGCTCACGATAACGATATTATCACAATAACGATATCACAATAACGATATTATCACGATAACGATATCACAATAACGATTTAATCACGATATGACGATTATCAATATATTGGTCAGAAATATACAATATGCCAATTTATGGCATAAATAAAAGAAAACATACACTTTATTTAATGAGAAATGCGTAATGTAGCCATATATTAAGTATTGATACCAATTTTTTTTATTATTACATTTTTCTTTTCAAAATTGATAGATACTTGGCAAATGCATATCGATAATCGAATCGCTGGAGAAAGTATTGCGATATATCGAAAAAATGATATATCGTCACACCCCTAATGTAAAATGTATGCGACTAGTTACTCGCTCTCAAAACAGTGTGGCTATCATTAGTTAGCCACACTGTTAGTTAGTTTTCATGCATTCTTGGCCTCTGTCACATTTTTAGATCAGCTTCTTCAGAAAAGTGAAAAAGAGAGAACCACCCTCACTCAGCCCAAAGCCTCAAATAGTGACTCACAGGGCATTATTTTAGCCAAAGAAATGCGTCTTATAGATGTTTTCCAATAAGATGAAGTCAGCATGTTGTGGTCTTGTTTGTTTTATGTTAGCTTGATATTGATGGAAGGGAAGCCTAACCCAGGTTAGATACCCCATCATCAGCGCTCACATCTACACCGGTGAGGCTCCAATTCCATGTCTTACTTCTAGTCTCTGCTTCAGCTCTGCTCTGAGAAAGCACAAATCATGTACATAGCGCCTTTCAAAGACGCTGGCAATATTGGCATTCTTTTAAGAAAGAGCAACTAAGAGCTGATTGACTGAGTGAGCGTGGTCCTCTCTTTGGCACTTTTGAAAAAAAAAAAAACAATCTAAAGATGTGACAAAGGCCAATAAATACATGAGATTGAAACTAGTGATAGAACCAAACTGTTTTGAGAAAGAGGAGCCTGTTACATGGATTATTGTTGGTTTCAAAGTTAGGTACCCCAGCTTTGTTGATGGAATTATTTCAATTAGATATGCCATAACTTAAATGTTTCAATAACGTGTGAATAAAATACAAAACAAATACAGAACACATTGACACTCACTTATCATTATGTGTCATGCCGCATAGTTCTTATCCTCGGTAAGTGTCTTATCAGGTTGGCCCAGGGGAACTCTCCTCCCCCCTCATCACCCCTCTCTGACATGGATCTGTGCCCCAGTCTCGGAGCGACAGTGAACGCACCGTGGAGCACGCCGGCTTCGCGCTGCTCCGACTAGATTAAAGCCACACTCCGGTAAATCCACTGAAACCGACACACAACTGACAGACAGGAGACAGAGGCTGCATGGAAATACCACGACTACTACAAAACAATCAGGTATTTCTTTAGACCATGGGTCTCCAACCTATAGCTATTCAAAGGATAATTTTATTAGTAAATATAAAAGTGATTATGATGGATTTGGCTCCTGTGGACTCGCCACCTGCAGGATGATCAGTGAGGGGCTGGTGCTCTGTGAATTGGGTGCAGCTCTGACTGCCACCCCCTGACCCAAAAATGGATTAAGGGGAAGAAAATGGATGGATGGATGGATGATAGATTTGTATATGGGTATACAAGAAAACACAACAAGAAATGACAAACAAAAGTTAAAATTGTCCAAATTTAACTTAAAGAATATTTTGACGTCTTAAAACAAGATTTGCCAATGGATCATGTAATACATTTTCCATATCTGTGCTGAAAATAACACTAATGCTGGTTGTTTCATTGTTTTGATTTTCTCATTCTTCACAGGAAAAAAATGACCATTTAGTCGACCATTAAAAGGGAGTAGCACCTCCAGTGTAGTCCCAAAAAAGTAGCTCTCTAAGGGAAAAGGTTGGAGACCCCTTTTTTGACTGTCCAGATGTCCAGCAGGAGCAGAAAGTAGCATGACTGAAGGAGAAAAGAACTGCGTAAACTACAGTGCTTACACGTTGAACTTTTGCACATTTTGTTATATTTACAACCATACATTTATTTGTTTATTCCGATTTTTTTACTGTAACAGACAAATGCGAAGTGAAGGCAAAATGAAACATGATTCAGTTATTTTTTTCAAAAATAGAAAAGCGAAACCTTGTTCATGCACAATTTGTAAGCTATATAAATAAGTTTGCAAGGCATGAAAGCAGATAGAAAAACTGCTTAAACTGGACAAGAAAGAAGGAAAGCAGAGAAGAGAGCCAGTTAAAAGTCCATGGAAAGAGCCGTTTACTGGATTCAATACAAAAGTCCCGTTATTTTCCACATCTCGGTTTTGACTGAATCGGTTTAATGGTTCACTTTATCAAATGGTGAATGAAAACCACAACAGTGTTACTTCGAAGCACTCATGACACATAAGCATCACAATATACACAACGTATAAACAATATAAAAGTGAATCCAAACTTGTACCTTTGCGCTCGGACCTCTTTTTTCTTCTGCGTTTACACTTGCGTCGCACCAGACACAACATGGAAGGGTCCAGGAGCGAAACCATGACCACAGGCTCTTAGATCGCTTTAGGACCGAGTTTTGTCTCTCGCTCCGTCCTGGTTCAATGCCTGATTCTGTCGGTGTGTCAGTCCTTGCTTTTGTCCAGCTTTTAGTTCAGCTTTTAGTTCAGCTTCTCTCCTGCTTCTCTCCTGCTTCTCTCCTGCTTCTCTCCTGCTTCTCTCCTGCTTCTCTCCTGCTTCTCTCCTGCTTCTCTCCTGCTTCTCTCCTGCTCCAGTCCTGCTCCAGTCCTGCTCCAGTCCTGCTCCAGTCCTGCTCCAGTCCTGCTCCAGTCCTGCTTTAGTCCTTTTAGTCCTGCTTTAGTCCTGCTTTAGTCCTGTTCCATTCCTCTCGAAGTGCTCAGAGCCAAAGTTAGCGCCACACTGGCTTCATGTGCTGCTAAACGCCTGTCAAATCGAACGCTCTTCGCTCCAGACCCCTCCCCTCACAGGAAAAACCCAAAGAGTTGTTTTGTTTTGGTTTTTGTACACGTGCCGAAGCTTTCCATGGACAAAAGACACACTTCAAGAGACAGTATTTATTTAAATTCAGGGATGAAGGAAAAAGGGAACAAATATTGTCATGATATAGGATTGAAACCAATTCATTTTGACTTTGAGATTGACAATAAGGTATCCATCACCCATCACAAATGAACTTTAAGGTGCTTGGTATATATTTCTTTCAGTTTAACAAATTGAACAAATACTGTCTTGTACAATTAAAAATAAATGAACAAGATAAGGGAGGGGATATTACAAGAGCCCACTTCTTTTAGAGCACAAAAATCTTTTTCTACGGCGGATTTTATTACCTCAAAGACTACTGTATATAATTCATTTTTGCCTGAAATAAAAATAAGTGAAATTGATGGATAAAAGCTACTGAAAATGACAGAATGTCGTAATAATGAGATTATTAATGTTATTTCAATATGTCTGTACATGTACACGTATTTTAAATATTAATACATATAACTTAAATAAAACTGTAAGAGTCCAAGTCAAGTGAATGTGGTTCTATGAAGAAAAAGCTGCTGCTAATGGAATGACGGCGCTGCCATCTTGTGGCCAAAAGCATTTACTCCTCACACCTTGTTTTAATTTGTAATGCTTTGTTTTTACGTGTATTACCAATATTTTCCATAGACATTTCTTAGATGAGGGTTTGGTTTACAAAAAAACTTCCAAAAAGACGTTATAAGAGGTGCGAAATGTGACTGCCGTAAATGTCATACTAGAAAGAACACTAAACATAACACTGTAGAATCCCAGCTTGAGTAGAAATCTATCCATGGACTGCCCGCTAATGCAATTGAGTGAATGCACCAATGGTTGAGAAACACAGCAGAACTACAACTAGAGCCAATGCTGCATACAGAATACCGATCTCACCACAGCAATAACATGTAATGAGCCTAAAAATACATAGAATTAATAAAGCATCCTTCTTACGTCGTGTTGAACTTGTAGATCCTCCAACCTCACCTCAAAACGTGATCTGTAAAAAGAAAATATCAGATTAAAACCCAGAGAAACCCAGGGTGTTGTTGCAAGGAACGGGCAGCAGAGAGCGCCATCATATTTCCAATGTGTTGGTTCATTCATTACAGTGAAGATTTCCAACTGAGACTTTTTAATTAAAGCTCCAGGGATAAATCAGCTGGAAAGAGGAGTTTGGGCAAAAAAAGTTGTGGTCAGAGACAACAATAGGACACTTAATCCACATAACATGTGGAAAAATTCCACTCAGAAAGGCCCTGTTCCAACTGGGATTTGAACCCGGACCTTCACATCACTATACTATCGAAAGCCATGCTGAGACAAAACTGCACAAAAATATACAGTACATAAAGCAAAACATTAAATGTCATAAACTGCTAAAATAAGAGGATTTAAACAGTGGACAAAAGACTAGCAATAGAAGTATCTTATATTGGTGTAGAATGGATGGAGATAAAAACAAGTCAACAAGTGATGTGGACCAGATAAAAAGCTGTTTAGGATCCCTCCCTGGAGATGTGTTCTGGACATGTCCCACAGGGAGGAGACCAGGGCAGGACCCAGCACACACTGGAGGTAGTGTGTGTTGAGAGGGAAGTCTGGGCATCTCTGCTCGGACTTCTCTTTCCCTATCATTTGTGTATTGGATTGGTTTTGAAGTAAACTTCATCCTATAAAATGGTATTGCTTTACAAGTCTGTATCTTCAGATTCGGAAAAGAATATAATAGATAATACATAGCCTAAATAGTGGGGAATAAAGATGGACCTCTGAGCAATACAGAGCAAACAACAGAAAACCACTAAAAACAGAAGGTTCTATAGTCCAGAGGTGTCAAACTTGTTTTGGTCAGGGAATAAGAAAAAATAGAAACTGATCCGAAGCCAAAAGAATAGACAGAACTTTAACATGACTTTAATGTGACACAAGTTTCACTAGTTTTCAGGTGTTTATTGTTTAGATTTATCCAAAACTGGACTACACACATTGTTACTCACAATGTTTTATATTTAACCACATAACTTCTAATGATGTGTTGGGTTAAATTGTTAGTATACATACATTTTAAAATGTTAACAAAAGATCAAGGCTGTGGAATCATAGACAGAGCAGCCATCCTCCTGTGGACTCACCACCTGCAGGAGGATCAGTGAGGGGCTGGTGCTCTGTGAGTTGGGTGCAGGATTCGTTGGTGCACACGGAGTACCTTTTTTCATTGTATTCCAATGTGGTTTTTTATACTGCACAGGGCAAATGAAATGAATATGAATCTGATTTGGCGGTTTTGGCGAGCCTGAGTTTGACATGTCTGTTCTGTACGGTACAATGAAACAGTATAAAACTTCCTCCCTCTACAAAGGTTCCCACTCTGATTTGAATAATGTACAATATTATAATACGTAATTTTTAATTAATTATATGTGAGAAAATCCTATGTAGCGATATCTGATAATAATTTTATATTAAAGTTAAAGTTGTAATCTTAAAGTAGCAGTATGTAATATTTGCATGTCAAGTCATCATTAAATGGCCTCCATATTTCAAAAGGCGTTATTAAATCATGCTCTTTTCGAATACATCTTTAACTGATAACAGTAGTTCAGCCGAGATATTTGAATATCAAAATTAGTTATACGACCCGTAAAAGTTGTTATTGTTTTGATTTTGATGTCCTACCCTCCGCCGTTTCGCCAATCAGGAAGTGTCATGTAAGTCCGTGATCGGGTTGCCAGAACTCCTGCTCACTAATCTCAGTGGTAAAATAACATTTATTTGCATGTTATCACATTCTATGACAGATTGCTCTAAAAACGGTAAAAGACGAAGGTCAAAACGTTTTTTTTGCAGATTATAGCTTGATTGTAAAAAGAATCATTTAGGACCACATGTATCTCTTTTTGATGTGGGACTTTTACATGTGTCTAAAAAATATGGAATAAATAAAATTGAAAGGTGATATCCTCTGGAGCAAACCCTGATGTTGATACGCTGAAGAAATACGTTCCAACATCCATTCTTCCCACTCCTATTTTGGACATCAATTGCTTATTTATTTTGGATAATCTATAATTACATTGCTTTTATTTTGTTTTGTGTTTTTTATCTCAAATGTCCAAATACAAATAAAAAATTAAACATTCATTCAACATTAGCATGCCTCATGGCAATGTGAATGGAGACAGACAAATAACTGATAAAATAATTCCCTGTGTTTGCTGCTGGATTTGGTGTGTATCTGGCAACCCGAGTCAGGGAGAGGACTACAAAATATTGACTGTGACTACCACTTTCGGCCAGATTTTTATATATTGTTCCTTTAATTTCACAGTTCAAGACTTCCTTGAAATAGAGGTTCTTTGTCTAAATGGTTAGATAAAGACTGCAATAATAACAAATGAATACAGTATCCCACATTTTTCTATAGAATTAAATCAATTTTAACTCCAGAATGTAAAAAGCATATAGAAAATTCAGCCGTTATAGATCAAAACAGCTGAGCCTAGTCCCTTCTGACCACACAAAGATGCAGCAGTCGCTATCAATAATGTAGCAACAGATATTCTATCAATATTTCACTATTTTTTCATGACTATTTTTCAAAACATCGCACAGCCATTTAAAGCGAAACAGTATAGAATTATTTGCAGATAAAAATGTGAACGTTTGGAATGTTTTAAAAAATCAGAGGACAGAAAATTTGTATTTCAAAGATTGAACTTGAAATAAAGAAAACTGGCCCCTGGAGAAACAGCGCAACACAACAGAGCTTAGCAGTCATTAGCTTGTATTGTTTTTATATAAAGCAGCTTAGCATAAAAGGATCAGGGCAAAGTAGCAACAACTGTACTGGAAAGCCTTGAGCATTTGGGTTTGTTTTATGAACTTAAGGCTTTAAGTATGTGACCACACACGACCACACACAACCACACCCACTACCCCACCCACACACAGGGAGAATGCAAGACGGTAGAGTAGTTTTGTATTTAAATATGATGACCATGAAGCAGGGACAAAAGCAAGGACTAAAGCGGACACTTAACCAGGACTAAAGCAGAGACTAAAGTAGAGACAAAGCAGAGACTAAGCAGCACTAAAGCAGGATTAAAACAGAGACTAAAGCAAAGACTAAAACAGACTAAAGTAGAGACTAAGCAGAACTAAAAACGGACAAGCAGGGACTAAAGCAGTACTAAGACCTAAAGTATACCCAAGACCATTGCAGTTATTCGTGTGATTTATATTTTCAAATTAGAGAGTTTCATTGCAGTTCAGGGCTCGACATCAACGGTTGTCCGCTTGCCCGGGCAACTAAAGATTTGGGACGGGCAAGTGCTCTGTTTTAGCAAGTTTCCCAAACGGGAAAGTGAAGTATTACTTTAACCCATCCTCCGGAGCCGGGAGCAGACGCGTCTGTTTATCTTTTTTGACCAATTCCCGACTGTTTTACGCTGGCAATGCCATTTCTGTGAAATGTGTGACTGCAGGCACTTTCTGTTGTTTGCTC